TCTTTTCTCCTCTCCTCCACCATTCCTTCTCCCTCTCTTTTTCCTGCTCTTCTTCCTCCTCCCCTTCTCCTCCAACCCCGCCACCACGACCACTACCCCGCCTTCATCCTCCAACTCTTAAGCAGGATAGTTGACGGTGAACGATTTATCGGTAGGAAAAGAGAATAAGCTGACATTGGTATTCCGCTCACACCAAATTGTAGGCGAGCAACGGAATCCAAAAATCGGGCAGCTTCCATTTTGTCTGGAAGTCACCAGAAAACCGGGCGAGATCGTTCCTTCTTTGTCGTCCCTTTACCCTGGTCTCCAAGGCTGTTTCCCCCCCACACACACACACAATTTACGGAGAGAAGAACACCCACCCGCTTGCACAGACCCACACAAAAAACCCCACACAAATATAAACACACACACACACACACGCAGAGACATTATTTCTCTTCTTCCTCTTTAATAAACCCTTTTTCCTGTGCTGTCATTTGAACACTGATGGGGGGGGCAAAGGGGATGGATGCGTTGCTCAAGGAGAATTAATTGGCATTTGCTCATATTAATGAGCTGCCCCCCCCCGCTCCCCCCCCCCCCCCCCCCCCCCCCCAAGATTCTCTCCAAGTCCTAGTAATTAATTGTTAATATCTTTTCAGGGCGAACTTCGTCTACTCGCTCGAGTAGGGCAGGAGGGAATAGCCGGATGCCGACATGCCACACATTGCAAGTGGCAGCGGTGTGTGTGTGCGTGCAGTCCTCCGCCGTGCTTTTGCCCCCCCCCGCTCTCCCCCCTTCAGGCAGCAGCGTGTAGCGGGCGGAGTCGTCATGCATCGCCGGCGCATTCGGCAACGGTGTCAAAACACAACTTCAATTAATTCCCTCTAATTATGGCTCCAGAGAGACTGGCTTTTTTTATTGTTCCTCGTTAAAAGGCATTGCCTTTTCCCTTTTTATTTTATTTTTTAAATATCTGCCTTTTTTCCCTTAAATCTCTCCGTCAAATCTGACCCTCCTCTCCACCCCCCAAAAAAATATTTCAGTGCCCCAAAGGCAGCAAGAAATCCAGAAACCTCTTAAGAAGAAAGGAAGGGAAGTTGAGGCCGGATTTGGTGCATGATATGTCCCCCTCCCCCCCCACAAAAAAAAGGGTGTGTGTGTCAAAAATACAGATAGTTCTTCGACTTATGGCCGGTTCAAATTTCTGACGGACCTCCCTGAGGGACTTCGGGCCAACTGCCACCGCCCCTCCCCCCACAGGTCACAGGACTGCATGTTGGACGCTCGTTAGCTCTTAGTTGGCAGCATCCCAGGCTCACCTGGCCACATTTTTACCTCAGGGGTGAAATATTTTTGTGGTAAACCTGCGTGGTTTTTTTTGGTAAAACAGGCCCATAGTGAACAATTGGTTCACTTAACGATCGACACACACAAAAAATATGAGGCATAAAATTAGGTTGGTCATACACTTTGGTGCTATTATTTTCTGGAGTTCATTGGCTATGTCTGTGTATCTCTCTATATTACTCTCTCCCTTCTATCTGTCTGTATCCATTTGTCATCCATGTTTATCTACCTACCTTACCTACTTAAATACCTACCTACCTATCTACCTATCTAAATAGAAATATTTATTTTTTATTTAGAAATCAAAATAAATAGAATTAAAAAGCAGAATAAAAATAGAAGTAATAAATAAATTTCTCTATTCTTCTATCCATCTGTATCCATCCATCTTTTTTTCTATTTTTCTATCTTTCTATCTATCTATCTATCTATCTATCTATCTATCTATCTAGAAATAGAAATAAAAGGCAGAATAAAAATAGAATCATAGTGATAAATAAATTTCTCCATTCTGTCCATCTGTATCCATTTGTCATCCATATTTATCTGCCTGTCTGTCCATCCATCCATCCATCCAAATAGAAATAGAAATAGAAAGCAAAATAAAAATAGAAGTAATAAATAAATTTCTCCATTCTTCTATCCATCTGTATCCATCCATCTATTTTTCTGTCTATCTGTCTGTCTATCTATCTATCTATCTATCTATCTATCTATCTATCTATCTATCTATCTATCTATCATCTATCATATCTTAACTATTCTATCTGCAAATAGAAATATAAATAAAAGCCAGGATAAAAGTAGAATCCTAGCAATAAATCACCTAATTTCGTGTGTCTAAAGATAGGGTTGAAGACAGAGGCAGTTCCCCTAGGTAATGGAAACTTTTTAGATAAAGTTACTAATAGTATACAACTACTGTTACCACTGTTGTTAATAATAATAACAATAATAACAACAACAACAGTAACAATAATAATAATAATAATAATAATAACAACAACAACAGCAACAACAACAACAATAATAGAAAACCAGCAGTTGAAAGCAGAGAGTTCAGAAGATTTTAAAGATTTTAATATTACAAAAAGCTGTGCGGGGAATCAAAAGAATTTTGCTTGGTAGTTAAATCAGGCTAAGGATTCGTTTTCAGATTTAACAGACATTTGTGTACTGACTAGTCTGTTAAATCAAGCTTTTGCTGTGTTAACATTGAGCCTCATCCACGCAAGGTTTCAGTTACCCCAGCTTGGACCTTAGCACATGTAGAGTTGAGCAAGATTCAACACTTTGAGCTCTGAAATGATGCAATTCTGGGCTTTACTTGTCTTTGCCTGTTTTATTCCCCCACTTAAATGCAAAACATTTTTGGGGGGATAAAAATTTCTCCAGAATGGCCTTGCTAACCTTTCCCCACTGAATTAAGCCTTGGAATTAGTCATCATGTTTAAGTGTGACGGCTTGAATTGAAGGACTTTCCTGAGTTCCAAATGATGCATCTCCCCTCCCAAGCTCTCTCTTTTATATCAATAGGGCTGCTGGAAACGATGATTAATTATATTCCAAATTCTAGCAGCCTCCGTTCACCTCGGCTCTGTTATTGTTTCCCAATTGTTCTTCCCTCTCGCTCACCATTTCTTTCTCTCTTCCCTCTTCTCCACTTTTGTTCGGAGGGCTGTTATTTATTTATTAAAAAATAAAAAACCGTGCGTGTGTGAATATGAATTTCAAAATTGAAAGTAGTAATTGATTTGCCATATGCTGCCAAGCTGTTGGCGTTTAACAGTGTGCGTTCAAGGAACTTGGGGGTTGTATTAATCTTTTGCCTCCCAATAAATTAGGTGGTTTGGGGTTTCTGAGTGGCACATTTATGTACATGTACAAGAGAGAGAGAGAGGGAGGAAGTTCCCTGTTTATAGTTTAAAATGATTATAAAACGTGGATTTTGAAAAATAAATGCCAGCAGAAAACATAGTTGTGGTTTTGGCTGGCAGCAATAATGAGTTTAGGATCCATATCTGGCTGATGCTTGTATTGGTATAAAGTCAATTCATGCCAGCAATTAGGGCAGATTTAAGATTGTTTGTTTGTATCTCGCCTTTATTATTTTTACAAATAAAGTGATAAACATATCCGACACACCTTCCTCCTCTTATTTTCCCCACAACAATAACTCTGTGTAGTAGAGGAACTGGCCCAAAGTCACCCAGCTGGCTCTCATGGCTAAGGTGGGACTAGAATTCACCATCACCCAGTCAGCTTTCATACCTGACAGGACTAAAACTCACAGTCTCCTGGTGATTGGCTCAAAGTCACCCAGCTGGCTTTCATGCCTAAAATGGGACTATAATTCATTGTCACCCAGCCAGCTTTCATATCTAAGACAGGTCTAGAACTCACAGTCTCCTGGTGATTAGCCCAAAATCGCCCGCCTAGCTTTCTTTGTCTAAGGCAGGACTAGAACTCACAGCCTCCTGCTTTCTAGTCTGGTGCCAACCACTAGGCCAAACTGGTTCTATTATGGTCAAGTCAAGTCCTCTCCTACTTAAGCTGGATAACCCAACTTTGCCACTGTTTTTTCCATTCACTAGTGTCCAGTTCTCGGGTGTTGCCTGGACTAATCCTTGCCGTTTTCTTGGCAAGATCTTGATTTGCCATTGCCTCCTTCCTAGGGCAGAAAGAGAGTGACTGGCCCAAGGTCATCCAGCTAGGCAAGACGAAAACCAATCTCCATGAGTATCCCTGCCTCCCTAACTTGGGTTGTTGTTCTTGGAAGTACAAACATGTTCTTTGGTCTCTTCTCTTTAGACATATATCGTTGACGCTTCCTGCCAGTTTCCGAGGGAAAGGGCATGGCACTCGTCCAGATTTTGAGTACCAGCACTCCAATTTATATGCCATTTCAGGTAAGAGACAAATCTCCTTGCTTTATAACAGCTTTTAGCTCTACGTAGCTCCCTCACTTTGGGCCAAGAAGAACTCACAGACCTTTACAACCATAGCTACATGTGCTAAAATTACATGATGTTGCTTTAGGCAGGTAGCCCTGAACTTACAACCACAAGTTTTCCGTTGCTAAGCAAGACTGCCGTTCAGTGAATTTTGGGCCACTTTACGACCTGACGACGACCGTTGTGAAGCGAATCTCTTCGATTGTTCAGTCACTAACATGATTGTTAAAGTGAACCTGGCTTCTCCGTGGATTTTGCTTGTCAGAAGGTCACAAAGGGGGAAATACTGCAGCTGTCATAAAGACATGCCAGTTGCCAAGCCTCTGAATTTGGACCACCTGACCATGGAGATGCTGCAACCATCGTAAGGGTGGGAAACGGGCATAAGTCACTTTTTTCAGTGCCGTTGCAACTTTGAACGGTTATTAGAATAGAAATAGAAATAGAAATAGAGTTGGAAGGGGCCTTGGAGGTCTTCTAGTCCAACCCCTTGCTCAAGCAGGAGACACTATACCCTTCCAGACAAATGGATGTCCAACCTCTTCTTGAAAACCTCCAGTGATGGAGTACCCACAACTTCTGTTCCACTGATTAATTGTTCTCCCCGTCAGGAAGCTTAATTCCAGGTTGCTTCTCCCCTTGGTTAGTTTCCATCCATTGTCCCTTGTCCTGCCTTCTTGGTGCTTTGGATAATAGCTTGACTTCCTCTTCTTTGGGGCAGCCACTGAGATATTGGAAGACTGCTATCATGTCTCCCCTAGTTCTGACTAGACATACCCAGTTCCAGCAACTGTTTCATCCTCCAGTCCCCTAATCATCTTTGTTACTCTTCTCTGCGCTCTTTCTAGAGTCTCAACATCTTTTTTACATTGTGGTAACCAAAACTGGGTTGACTCCCTTGTAACAATTTTTGTAGGCATTGGGAGAAAGATGGCATGCCCACACTGAAAAGAGATGTGGCACTTCTGAGGCTTTCTGTTGGTGGTCAGGTGGTCAGTTGAATAGTCCTTCTCAACATCAATCCGTCCTCAGACTGGATTCTTGACAATGTGACAGCACAAGGTTCTCAAGAGGTTCCATTAATCTTCTGACCTTGGGGATCTTAAGAGTTCATTGAGAAAAGAACATCCACACCTTTCATGGCTTCTTCTGAAGGGTGGTGTTGAGTCAGAACTACAAGGGCAACCAGAGAGAAGTCCAAGAAGGAGAGACACAGGGCAGGAATGATTTTTACCCAAGGACCCAAGCAGGGGGTTGGACTAGAAGACCTCCAAGGTCCCATACCGACTCTTATTCTGATAACATCCCTAAAGCACAGAAGGAGGACAGGCTGCTGCAACGGAGGAGGAGGAGATGATTTCTAATAACGGAAGTCAGAAGGAGGAATAAGTCACTTTAAGGAGGCATAAATTGTTGACGGTGGCGCATAAACAGCCATCGTTCTCCGCCGTCTGTCCCTGCCAATAACAGGGGGACAGTGCCAACATAAAGAAGAATCTCATCAGGGAGAGGGAAGGGGACAAAGCTTGTATTTCGGATCCTTGTGTAAAAGGTTAGTGGCTAACAGGTGGCGAGGTTTTCCCACCGTATAAAGCCATGTGCAGGCTGTCAGACTCACACAGCCTGCCTGGTTTCATGTGATGGATGGCCTGTTTTCTTGATTAAACCTTCCGTCACTTAAGGAACAATAAGCTGCAGCACCGAGGTGTTGAGGTGTGTGTGTGTGTGTGTGCAGTGCGTGCGTCTGTGTGTTTCTGCTTTCCATTTTTGCAGACGGTGGGCGCAGCGCGCAGCATGTATTATTAAAATGAACCTGGCGTCAATGGCATCTTTATTTCCTTCGCAAGAGAAACGGCCCTTAAATTTTGCCCTCGTAACAGGATGGGACAGAACTGGCCCCTTCATCAGGGTAATTGGTAGATTAATCAACTTAAACTTGAGTTGATTAATTCAAGATTTTATATATATATATATATTCCTCAAGGGTTTTTTTTTAAATCATCTCTGGTCTTTGAGGTTTTCCATGATTTTGTCAAGGTACGATAAAATGCAAGTACAAATATATATATTTTTCTCCCTTTCAAGGATAAATAGCTTTTTTTCCCCTCTCGCCCTTATTATATGCCATCTTGTCCTTGTGTTGGTGTCTTAAGCAGACACATCTGGAGATTTTGGAAACATGGAGGATTTAAATTTTACGAATTAATTGTTGCTTCCGCCTTTGTGATTGTTTTTTTAATTGCTGTTTTTTTTGGGGGGGGGGGGGCTTCCTTGTGAGCTTTCTAGAATGGTTCGATATAAGATAGGAAGCCATAACAAATAAAGTCATATGGTGAATTAATTGAAATGTTTCCCATTGCGCAGCGGTTTTACTGGATTATAATACGGCATGACCCCAGATCCCTCCAATTATCCCTTCATATCAGTTCTTTCATTGTTGCCCCGCTTCAAGACTTAGAATTCCCATCGATGGCTCTCTGTTAGTTAGAGAACTCTTCTATCTTCTAAAATAGTAATTTTTGGTGGAAAGAGTGTCACTGTGTGCTTCCAGCCCCACTGGGTTAGGGTTCGATTAAGTGAGAGTAATGTAGACTTAGCCCCAAATGATGGCAAGCATAAGAAGAATAAAGATGGTCGATTTTGGATGAAGAATTGAATTTGTGTGATGAAGCAAGTTTCATCCCTTGAAACATGGTCCTAGAGCTGGAATGAACCTAACAGATAACAGATAATCAGAGTTGGAAGAGAGCTTATAGGTCATGTAGTCCAACACAAGCCTTGGAGGTCTTATAGTCCAACCCAACGTCTAGTCCAAGGCAGGAGTCCTTATACCATAGAGCGGGAAGGGACCTTGGAGGTCTTCTAGTCCAACCCCTGTCCAAGGCAGGATTCCTTCTACCATTTTGGACAAATGGCTGTCTAGTCTTTTCCTAAAAACCTCCAGTGATGGAGCATCCACAGCTTCTGGTGGCAAGGAGTTCCACTGATAAATTATTTCCTCTGCCCAGAAATGTATCCTTAGCTCCAGGTTGGATCTCTCTTTAATGTTTATCTCAAAACTTCACCCCTTCTAGAATCTTAACAGCGTGGTCTAAATATTTGAATTCTGTGGATCTTTCTCCTCATTCAAGAATACTGGAACAATCTTTCTTTCTTTAATATTATTTTAAAAATTTTCTTTTAAAAATCAGAAGTGTTTCAAAGAATGTTATTCACATTGAAGGTTTAATTTAAAAAATGGGGTGTGCTGGTTGAAAGACAGCAGAATAGTCCCCTTATTTGTGAAGATGATGGAGACAGAATTATGTTCTGTCCGTTCCTCTTTATTATTAAATATGGGGTGGAGAAAATCACAACACACTTTAATATTCATTTATAAGCATGCTCCATAATCAACAAGATTTATTGAGAGTTAAATCAATGGCTTTCCAGTTTATTTCAATGGGCAAAAATCTAGCCATTGGGTATCTCTTCCCTTTGTTATCAGTAGGATGTAGAAACTATCTAAATTTCCTTGGCATACTCTTATGTGTTTATCAATTCAATGTCTTTCAAATTAAACACGAGTAAAATAATGGGGTTTGTCGTTAAACTGCAACATCTTTAAGCTTACTTTTTCTTGCTGTATTTACCTCAGAGGGCCTTGCATTGTTGCGCTACTAAATCCCAAACCTTATCCTTCCTATAAGAATGTCAGTTTGAGGAGTGCAGATATTCCATCAAAATTTTCGGAGTGAATGGATGAGCTTTTTAATACCTTGGCAGCTTTGGGGGGGGGTGTGTGTGTGAAGTTAATAAACAGCGTGTTCCAAGACAATATGTTAATGGCTCCCGGAGGGAGAAAAGTTGGTTTTGCTTCCAAAACCCCAAAAGAGGAGGGGGAAAAAAATGCTTTGGCGTGAAATGCTTGGGTTGCAAGATGTTTCATCTATCCACAAAAGGCTTTGGTAAGACTTATGGGCAAATCATACGTTACCGGCGCGGAGTTGAAATTCTTCTTTGTTTTGTTGCGAGAGATTTTGGCAGTGCTGTCCCAATCCATCTTTCCTTTTTTTGCTTCTTGGCTCAGCTCTTTCCTTCATTCCTGGCCAGTGCAAATTCCAATGCAATTCAAATTCTAAATTATACCAAGAATCACCAATGCAGGATCCTCTTAAGAGACACTTAGTTTCCCTGGCTGGTTGGGATCATTTACGAATTAAAAAAAGGGAGCTTAGGTGTAAATGTACTCAGCAATGGAGGAAAATATTACAGAAACTTCTGTCCACCTCTTTTACAAGGCTGACTTCAATATTCAGGTGAGGGAGAATCTGTGTCTTCAGGTTTGTATTTGCAGAAGCCGTTGTAGAGTCTTGCATAATAAAACTGTAGCAGGTGTTGGATTTCATCAGATTAGCAAGCTGTTGCTTGTATCCAGTCGTCAAACTTGATAGTTATGGTATATGGTGACATCCTTAATTTACGTGGGTCATATATTTTGGGTTTCTCAGTGCCAAGATTAGGAGCAGGTAGAAGGTGTGGGGTCTTTGGTGCTCTCTGAGCTTGGTTGTTTTCTTGCAGATATTTCATCACCCCACTAGGTAATATCATCAGTGCTACAAGGGAGTGGGGTATATGGAGAGGAGGAGGAGGAAGGCTGTGGGATCCTTGGTGCTGTCTGACTTTGGCGATTTTCTTGCAGAAATTTCACGATCCAGCTAGGTAATATCATCAGGGCTAGAAAGGAGTGAGATTTGCTCTCTGTTTATAGACAGTTCCTTCCAGCAGTGATGATGTTACCTAGCAGGTTCATGAAATGTCTGTAAGAAAACCACCAAGCTCAGACAGCAGCAAGGACCCAGAAGGCAATGGATATTTTCTTCTTCTCCTGATGGGGAAACTTAAGATGAACCAGAAAAAAAACAAACCTTTCAAAACTGTTTGAGGAAACCACAATAATTTACCCCAAAGTTCTT